TTGGTGAAGGGGGGAGCCTAGTAAACATAATGTTCTTCATTTAATTGTAGATTAATAATACCAAAAAAAAAAAAATACAACTCAGGTTTCCAGGCTAGGAGCAACAAGAAAACATAAAATATGTCACTTTTTGCTTCCATCTGAGTATCTTTGAGTAACGGATGTGAATTCCAAATTACAAGGCAGTATCTGCACATGTGCTCAGTTTGTGAAAAGTTACTTGCTTCAATAGTTCATCAAATCATTTTGACAATACAATTTGTAATCTGGCTTTATATAAATTCATCCTAATATTAGACAAAATAGTATAGTATGCTTTTTCAAGATATGGTAATTGAAGAGAAAGACTAATACAGGTTCTAACAAAGCAAAGAAGACAATCAATTTTTTGTTTTGTTTTTTTGGTTTTTCTGAGAAACGAAGCCTTAGCTCCATCTATCCATACAATAGAGTAAGATAACAATTCCAAATCTGATATTGGAGGCAGTCTCATGCTATATGTTACATAAATATTTCTAGCAATAAAACAGCAAGATAAGAGATTGTTTTTTAATCTTGTACCACTGTGTAAACCATAGTATTTATTTTCAAGGCTGATTAGATCATATTGGTGAGGGAAGATAAAAAGGAGCCTCCACGTGGGCATTAAATTAATGTAACTTTTATTGAAGAACACAATGGTGGTAATATCAAATCCCCAACTGTTCTTGGTCATCTCTAGCAGATAAAAAGGAAAGGATGCCCCACTGTGTGGAGGCAGAAGACCCTGCGTATAGTCCACACCACTTCACTTTTGCTCTGTGTCTTACATTACCCTCAGACTCCCCAGCGGCGGTCTCTGAAAGATGAAAGGGGACTCTCACTGAGATGCACACAAATGAATTAATTTGTGTCGCCATTTTTGGCATGTCGCCATGGATACGGCCATCTGAAGGCCTGGACGCAGCTGTGGGTTGATTGACAGTCCATTCACAGCGCAAGGCTCTACAAAACCAGGAACATGAAAGAACACTCATTAGAGGACAAAGACCTTCCTTATACATGTGGGGGATGCTTCAGAGACTGAATGTTACCTCGCAGTAAACATGACCTTCATATCAATATCCCCAATGAAAGTTAGAAGTACACCATGAAAGAATACATAAAAAAACATAGAGCTCATGTATTTATTTGACACCTCGCTTTATTTTGCATTGGCTTAAACCTATCTAAATGACAGTGTAATGGAAACACAAACCAAAAAGCATTTGTATTTTAAATCCTGTATTTTCTCAAAAAATTCAAAATAAAAGCCATTTCTCATTAAAGGCATACAGACTAGTATATGCTTAGACTAATGAAAGAGAATGTTTTCTGTCATTTTCTGTGAAATGGAGTATCTACTTCTGCATGTAGAGCACACTGTGAGGTACGATACTGACATTTTACACAGTCATCCACCCAAGTGTACAAAGATGAACTTACCTGTCCGTGAACTTAGCTCACAGACTCCAGTGCTGCTTGGCAGTGGAATACCTCACTCTTATATGTCCAAAGTAATTCTATCAACTCAGACTGACCACCCTGGGGCATCTACTCTGTCAGTTCAAGAAGCTTCCCTCCTCACACGTCTGATTCTCTTTTCCTTGGGCAGACCTGGCTTCCCTCGGTGGCTTATCCACCACCCTGTTATCAGAGCAGAGGAGGCCAGTCTATGCTCTCTGCACTCTCACTGGCCCTGCAGGTCTGTCCCTCGAGCCTTGGGCACTGACCCTGGCTTGCTCCCTCTTCTGCTGATACTGACATCCCTCTGTGCGTCCGGGTATCAGGTGCCTGTTCTAACATGCTCCGCGGCCTCTATGCCAGCCCGTCTGTCTGCTCGGTCCCTTCCATGTATTTCTGGGGTGCTCAGGCATGCTTGCCTGCTTTCCTCTTGCTACATGAAGGTATCTGAGACTCTGTGAGGCGGACCTCACACCTGACTGCATCGACATTCCGGTACCTGGGATGCAGAGACAGAAGCCTTTTAGCTGATGGGACACAGAGAAATTTAGTCAAACTCCACTGAGTCACAACCAGCTCGAATGCCTTACATTATGTCTCATCCAGTGAGTAAACTACATGTGAAGTTGATTTTGACACTTTGATGTTCTTTAGCTGTGAGTCTCCCTTTATTTGTATCAAAGGACCAGAAATAACAACTCCTTCGGGACCTTGAGCACTCAAGATTCCTGCTGTTTTCTTTGGAATCAGAATCAAAAGACATCATTTGGCACATAACCCACGCATAATATAAGCTAATCCATCAACATGACAGAACAAATGAAACCAAGACCCTACTGTCCTCTCCAGTGCTGACAGACCCGACAGGATTTACTATTCTGCCCTCACTTGTTCTGTTCAATTGGGCAGAAACACCAAATCAATATCAACATTTTGGAACTGCTTACTTAGAAATATTTCATGTGAATTAAAATTTTAGCACCTAAATGAATCAGAACATTGATCACTACAGACTGTGGGACTATCTGAGCATAGACTGCAGGTGTGCCCTAAAGTGAAATATTCTTTGTTAAAACAGTCTGTTGAATCTATCCTAGAGCAGTGGAATTGGGTAGAAATAATGTGAACTACATATGGTAATAAATTGTGTAGGTAAAATGTAGAGCTAGATGGGATATAAAAGATTTATACTTTATGTCTTTTTTCTATGCCACTGTTTATAAATTATCCAAGTTCATTACTCAGTGGTACAGAAAGACACCAGGGGGGAAGCAGCTGGGGACTCTAATCCATATGATGAGAAAGAAGGGCAATTAGTGAGAAAAAAGAACCCTTAAGAGAGAAAACCTCATATGGCAAAATAAAGGGTATGAGGTACATTTTCAAATGAAAGCAACTAGTAGGCAATTTAGAGAAATGCAGAACTTAATTTTTAATTGTCTGGTTTGTGTCTGTTGTAAAGGCTGGTTTCCACTGCTTTTTAGATAATAATGATAATACCAAATCTATTCCTTTTCCTATACTTCTGTTTGAAATTTAATGATAGTTAACTTTGAGATGATACTTTGATCAGGAAATAATAGAAGAACCTTTGTATTCAGTTTTCTGTGAAGCCTCAATCCCAAACCTTTGAAAATAAAAAGTACCAGAGAAAGGTCAAAAGTCCCAGGCCTTAATAATATTAAATAACACTGACTAAAGGGAAGAATGAAGAACCATCCCTCTAGAAAAAAGTTATTTCATTCAGAAGAATCATTGTTATGGAGAATCATGGAGCGGTAGGGGCACAGGGTTTTTCCTGGGCCTAATTTTTCAAATATATGTAATTAGGAAACAGAAATGAATGGGGACATTGCTCTCAAAAGAGAACTAAGCAATCTTTCATCTTAGTAAACCCACAGTTTTGACATCTCTGAGGGTACCTTTTTAAAAAGTCTTACTTACTTTTCTCTTTATGAATCTTCTTGATTGTCAAAAGGATTTCAAGCAAAATAAAAATTGAAAAACATATAGGCCTGGAGAGAAAGTTACAAATTAAATAAATAAATATACTGATCTATATTTTTATAAGAATGCAGATAAATCACTATTAATTTTACTTCTGGAAATTCTGGTGAATTGTTTTCACCTTTTATAAAGGAGCATGTTGGTCATTTTAAGTTTTTAAATCTATTTGTCCCAATAAAAGTTACGAGATTTCTTTTTTTCTAAGATCTTCCATGTTGTTTATAAAATAAAACAGGTTGGTATCTGGGTGAAATACCAATATTGACTCCCTAATGCCATTAATATAAGAATAAATAGCATATTATAAGCTGAAGTTATAATTCTAGGCATTATTATAAGAAAAATTTTAGCATTGGTTGGTAGCAACGCATTCAGAAGTTAACAGGCAGCAGGGCCTAAAAATGTGTGTAAGACAATGAAATATAAATAAAACACAACTTGATAGTGACCTGTATGGCTGAAAATCTTTTAAATTAAAAAATTAAAAGTAGAAAATTTTAAATGCTTTGCAGATACTGAAGGCTTATGGAGAAAGAACCCCGTTTATAACTGCAGGTGGTTAAAGAGGAGCAATTTAATTAGAATGTGCGGGTCACAGCTGATGGCAGGTACGGCCCTGACAAGTCACACTTTCAACGACTATGTCATTAGCAGGCCTCACTTCCTCTCACTGTAAACAATTAAGAACAACAAAACTTCTGAGAAATGCCAAATTTATATTTAGAGTACAATAATATACACGATACATTTGAGTAGAAAAGTTGACACTGATTTTTAAATATAATTATCCACAAATAATTTGAACCAACATCTATTGCAGAGTTTGTTCTTTATATCTATTCTCTGCCTACAGTTTACTCTTAATTATATATTTAGCCTTATAACTTTGAATTTCAGAGTTTATTTTTTGTTTGCCAGTCCCATTATCCTTCCTACTGATACGTTCTTTTAAAAACCAGAAACTATGCTTAAGTCCAGACAGCAAAACATGAAATAACTTTTCTTGAATACTTACCATGTGCCAAGCACCCTGCTACCCGCTTTATATACTTTATCTCATTTAAACCTTTTTAGCACATCTAAACCTAGGCACTGTTAGTATCATTTTACAAAGAAGTAAACTGAGACAAGGACAAGTTAAGTAATTTGCCCCAAGTCTCCAAGCTAGCAAATGGCACTGCAAAGACATGAATCCAATTTTGATTATACTTGCCACTTTCAGACAAAATTTCTCAATGTTCTTAGATCCCTGTTGTATGCTGTATTTTATTAATGTGAGTCTATTGCTTTATTGATAATGAAGTTCCCATAAATTGGATTTAGGCTACGTGAAACATGATTGACGTAGGCTAAACTAAACATGAAAGTTGTTTTTAATCAATTAAGATCAAAAAGCAGCAAGGGAGAATTTTTTAAAGAGGTTGTCAAATACCTAAGAACTGAAATTTAAAGAAATAATATGTGTGTAACACTTGTGCTGAGTGACCTAAATGGCAAAGAAGGAAGTAACATCTGTACATCTGTCTTGAGAGCACGAGCCTGAGCATGAGGGTTATTTCCAGGGTACCACTCACTTTAATCACCAAGGGGGAAGGAGTGCCGGGCGATTTGACGGTCTTGCAGGCACCTCTTTCTCCCATTCCTATTCCTGGTGAATTCTGGATCACACTCATGTCTCACCTACTCTTGTATCTTTCCCACTGCACTGACTCAGAGAAGGAACACAAGTTTTTCTCTTTATTTCCGCAAGCAATATTCACGTCCATTGTGTGTGATAGAATTTAACTGAATATTTGAGAGGATTGGAGAAGGTCAGCAGAGTACATAAAACATTTTAAAAGTGATAACTATGGCATCCTCTGATTTAAGAAAACCTGCCTTTCCAAATTCTCTTTTGTTCCTTAATATTTAGCAGAACTGGGAGTGCCTCAGTGAGTTTTCTGCACTGAAAACCAGCCAGTGGCCCTCTTACCTCCACTCTTCCCCAGTCGGGTTGTCTACTGCCTTACACTGCGCACCCGGAGGCACTCCAGGACAGTTTGCCTTAAGAAAACAGATACAAAAAGCATAAATAAAATGTCAACATGAAAAACACACCTTTTATAAATACTACATTTTAATGCCTTTCAAATAGTGTAAATGATTTTTAAAGATATTTTAAAGATTATTTTTAAATTTATATTTAAATTTCCAATTGTCCTAATATCTCTTCAAAAATGAACTCCCATTATATTTGCCTCCCATCAAGCTCCCTAACAAATATGATGGTTAAAATACCAGACATGATACAATTCAACTAAATTTCAGCATCACAAATGCACGGACCCATCTAAGTTATATTTCAAGAGACCATTCTTTGGGGCAATAATTGGCAAACGGTATGAAGCAATCAATGCAAAGATTCCATGAGCAGCTAGGAGCCAAAGCATCCTGGTCTCGGCTCAGAGACACCCCAGTGGAAAGTCCATTCCAGCCGATCATGAGCAAGTCCACTTTGTTTTATGTGACACTTGTATTCGTCATCAAGGGAAGTGCTAATCAACATGCAATCGTTTTTACTTCAACATTTAATGCTTGTAAACGTAGCTCTTCCAGATGGTCTCTAGGACAGGAAAGAGAAGCCAGGATACGCAACACAGTCTGTGGCCCCACTAATGACCTTCATATTGAGCTATAGTTACTTCTTGAAGTGGATGTTGGAGACAGTTCGTTTTGTGTGTGACTTCAATCCAAACCAGCTCCTACAATGAGGTAAAAATAAAACTTGAGATTCCCAGAGAGCCAAAGGAGAGGTAAGACAGGACTGTGTGCTACTGTCCGACGCTGGTCACTCAGAGGGCGGCAGGACTTGGCGCTCTCCTCTTGGACACATATGGACTCAACCTTTGGAGACTCCAGTACAGGAAAAGACTGTGTGGCATTTATATCCCGATTCAAGTATCTTCTATTCACATCTACAGTTAAGATGCTGAGCAAGGATAATCTATTTCAAGAGACAAGAGCTTTCAATGAGAGACGTACTGTCAGCAGTTACCCTATAAAGTCTGGAACAAAATGTGCTTTTAAAACACCTTTTGATGAACAGTGTAGGGGAAAGAGTGGGCAAAACAACGCAATGAGCACGGAAGGACTTGCTCAGGATGTGTTATTGGACAGACTGGCATCGTGGCTTGAATCTACAACATAGAAGCCAGCTAGGTTATCCTGACTGGTTTCCGAGTCAGTAGATCCTTGCTTGACTGGTCCTGACGTAGAGCTTTACCTCACCCTCCTCAAGCTTTTCTGGAAATCCAGGAAATCCGACACCAAGCCCTCAACCACTAAGCTTCATACAGGGTGTGAACACGAGAATCACCCCTTAGGAATGTGTCCAGTAAATCTGGGCCCATGATGACCTCACTTAATTTTTTATTTCATCAAAGATTTGATGGAAGCCATTTATGGGAATAGGAAAAATACCTCCTGGGTATTATTCACTTTAATCACCAAAAATAGTTTAGATAATGGAGGAAAAAGGAAAAATTTTAAGTATATCCCAATCATATTTTTCAGAAAAGGAAAGACTTATCAGAGTTAGTTTATGAAGTCTCAGATTAAAAGAAGCTATATTCTGGGAGAATTCATTTTTCTTCCCATTGTACATAATAGACTACTACCTATAAAGGATACCAAAGGAAGAAAAAGGCTTTACAAATATGGTGATAAGCCTTTGCAAGCCCGAGAAAAGGCCCACACACAGGAGGTAGGCACTTTCAAACAGGAGTCAGTACAGATTTTGGTCGGTTGGGAGGGGCAGACAAGAAGTGGACCAGAGTGGTGACAAAGTTCAGTGAGCTCAAGGAACGTGTAGAAGGAACGAGAGGCCCGAGTAACACAAGAGGGAGCAACATCGGTATTTGGAAGAGTTTGAGCAATCAGGACATCCTCTCAAAAACAGCTGAAGAATAGAGGTAATGCTTGCTGACCGCTTTCTATATGCCAGTTGCTCTTCTGACCATACCCAATCCCATGGTATGGGTTAATTATAAATCCACCCCATGAGGTGTGGTTTAATTCTCACAACCTCAGCCTGACCCGTGAACTGGTACCCCCTTTTAAATGTGGGGAGACCAGTATCCGGAGTCAATGTCCCACCAAAGCCCACCGCTATTATAGGCTAGATGGATGGCACTGGCAGTTGGGGCCCACTACAGATGCGTGCATCCGGAAGATCGATCAAGAGAGGGTTCAAGGAGTAGAAGCGACAGAAGAATTTGAATTACATTAAGGATCTTGGCTCCATCCCAAGTCACACTGAACTACTTTCTTTCCCAGGAAAACACCGTATTCTCCGGCCCTTGGATTCTTTCTCAGGATTGCCCACCCTGCCTGAGAAACCTCCTCTACCCTTTCACTTTCTCCCGTGTGCTTTCTTTGCACGATAACTCACCCCCATCCCTCCCCTTGAAAGACCTGGGCCGGTGCCGCCCGGGGATGGATCGCCAGCAGCTCCGGCAGAAACTCCCCTCCACTTCCCCCAGTCGGTCTCTACGCCCGTTATTCCGTGTCTTCATGTCTCTGACTAGGTCTGTTAATCCTCTTGGCCATGAGCTTCTTAAGAGGAATGACTCACCCTTTAACCACGGAACATGTAGAATGAGTTTTACACACACTGTTGTTAAAAAAAAAAGGCTGTGGTATTAAAGATAAACAGGAAGAAACATTCAAATGATATTACCAAGGTAAAAAGGGAGACCAGGTTTCGAAAGACCAGTGTGGATATATTCTTTCATGGCTTCTAGATTAGCAGGTGGCTTTGCCCTTTGACGGGGATGAAAGAGCATGAAGGGCCCACAACCGTCCGCACCAAGCGGGCCCTGTGTCAGCAGGGAGCTGAAGGGGCGGTTTTGAAAGTCTGACTCGTGGCGCTTTACCCTGAGACCTTCCACTGCCCTGAGAATGAAACCCAGGCTCTCTCCATCCCTCCCCTGCCTGATGTGAGCTGACCCCGGCCTATTTCTCCAGCCTTAGCTCCTATTTCTCCTCCTCTCATTCCCTTTTCCCAAGTCTGGGCCGTTTCTGGAATAGGCCAAGCTTACTCCTACCTCAGGTCTTTACAGGGCTGGCTCCATTTCCACAATCAAAGCTACCACTTCTTCCAGGAAGGCCTCAACATTGACAACAGGTGAACTATCTCTGCCCACTCACAAGCATTGTCATGCTCTTTTAATGCTGACTGATCTGACTTTATACTATTTATTTGATGATTTATTTGAATTTTAAGCTCTATGAGAGCAGGTACTTGATCTTTACACTTTTGAATCTCCAATGTAAGTACTGATAAATACTTGTGAATACATGAAAGAATTGATCAACCACCTTGCTATTTTTCTATGTAGCATAATCAATAATGGATAAACATGAAAACAATAACTAATGATAGTATGTGTATATATATATATATGTATATATACACTTAGATATTTTTTCTAGGCACTGTTCTAACTGCTTTATGTGCATTAATGCATTTAATCTTCAGAAAAAACCTATTACTATCCCAATTTTGCACATGAAAACCAAGGAGAGTTTAGAGTGTTTAGTATAGCATGAGTATAACGTAGGTGGTACAAGATAATGTTAAGGTACATAAAATGACAGCATCTGGTTTTTTAACTTACCGTGCGGCATGACGTAATTCCTAAAATTCACTGCCTCCACATCTTTGAGCCTCCCGCACGGAGGAAATGTGTACTCTTCCTCAGGACTGAGGTGTAGCCACCGTACCCTTCACTGAAGAGGCCAGCGGCACAGTGGTGGGCATGCCACTCTCCTGCACCCCACAGAGCCTTCTACACAACTGCATCCAAGTTCACAGCACGTTACACTGAAGCTGTGTTCGTTTACCTCTTTCTCTGATGAGACAGGATTCTTTGAGGGCAGGGGCACTGTCTTTTTGCCCACCCTCATGGATGCTGCCACGGCACCCAGTACAGAGCAGATTCTCAGAAAGGTTCATTGAATTAATTGCTACCATTGTTCATAAAATGGGGAATTTAAAAAATTGCTTGTTCCTCCAAACTTGAAATCAAATTTTCACTAGTTAAATAAGGTTTTTTAAATAATAAATTTCGAAATGACTAGACTGTGATAAAAAATTTTTTTTTCTGTATGAATAATCAAATTAATTCAGTTGCATAGTTTAATCACGTCAGAAATGGGCATCTTGCAAAATATACACTGGCATCAGAATGTACAGGAACATGACTGTTTCTTAGCTGTTATTAAAAGCATTAACTGAGGGTTTTTTATTCCTTCTTCCAGGAAGGCCTCAACATTGACAACAGGTGAACTATCTCTGCCCACTCACAAGCATTGTCATGCTCTTTTAATGCTGACTGATCTGACTTTATACTATTTATTTGATGATTTATTTGAATTTTAAGCTCTATGAGAGCAGGTACTTGATCTTTACACTTTTGAATCTCCAATGTAAGTACTGATAAATACTTGTGAATACATGAAAGAATTGATCAACCACCTTGCTATTTTTCTATGTAGCATAATCAATAATGGATAAACATGAAAACAATAACTAATGATAGTATGTGTATATATATATATATGTATATATACACTTAGATATTTTTTCTAGGCACTGTTCTAACTGCTTTATGTGCATTAATGCATTTAATCTTCAGAAAAAACCTATTACTATCCCAATTTTGCACATGAAAACCAAGGAGAGTTTAGAGTGTTTAGTATAGCATGAGTATAACGTAGGTGGTACAAGATAATGTTAAGGTACATAAAATGACAGCATCTGGTTTTTTAACTTACCGTGCGGCATGACGTAATTCCTAAAATTCACTGCCTCCACATCTTTGAGCCTCCCGCACGGAGGAAATGTGTACTCTTCCTCAGGACTGAGGTGTAGCCACCGTACCCTTCACTGAAGAGGCCAGCGGCACAGTGGTGGGCATGCCACTCTCCTGCACCCCACAGAGCCTTCTACACAACTGCATCCAAGTTCACAGCACGTTACACTGAAGCTGTGTTCGTTTACC